AAGTCGGAGATAGCTGGTATTCAATTAAAAAGTGGATGGCACACGGGATCCTTTAGGCCAAGAAAACATATCTGTAGTTGTGCGTTTTGTTGACAAAAACTATGGTCTGTGTGAGCGCCTCTTAGTAATGGCCACATCTGAGAAAGGCGATGCAGAGGCTCTGACAGGTGTCATCATTGATGAGCTCACCAGCGCCGGACTCAGCACGGACAAAATCCTGAGTCAAGTTTATGATGGCGCATCACTCATGTCTGGCAGGCATGGTGGTGTGCAGGAATTGCTCCAAAACAAGCTGGATCGTAACATACCATATATTCACTGCTTTAATCACCAACTTCATCTTGTTGTGATTCATGCCATGTCCAGTGAAGCAGCTGTCGATAATTTTTTGGGAGTATGCAACATGCTGTACAACTTCATCAGGAAGCCAACCGTGGCTATTCTGTACAAAGGCGATACCCTGAAACGTATCTTGGACCAGAGATGGACTGGCCACTTGGCAACGGTCAAAACTGTGGTGAAGAGTTTTCACGACATATCCACATTATTGACCGAGGTGGAAAACACACGAGGCCTTGGAGCGGAGGTGCGCGTCGAGGCTACGGGGCTGCTTCGTGCCATTACGCAGCGCAGTTTTCTTTTCATTGCGCACCTTGTTATGAAACCGTTGTCACTTTTCGAGCCGCCTAACAGACTACTACAGGCCGAAGACATGGACTTGTTCACTGCGGTGACACTTGTGAACAGCGCTTCTGACTGCGTGAAGACACTGAGGCTCTGCCGGTGACCGACCCTGGTCCAAGCAAGAGAAGACGCACAATTAATAAGAACCTCCATGGATTTGCAGTTTGAAGAAACAGTTGGTCAGTGACTTTTACAGTGTTATCTATGCTGTGCAAGGAGAGCTGAATGCGCGTTTTGGAGAGCGCAGTAGCGAGCTCATTGGCGCACTGGCTGCTTTGAACCCAGAGGCAGAGGATAATTTCCTGGACCCATCAAAGGTAACCCCTCTCCAGGTATTAGCTGGAACTGATGTGGTTGAATCGGAATAAACTGTGGCTAATGAGTTCCTGGTGAAGAAAATGACTGACACCACGGTTCCCCCCGAAGATGGAAAATGGACAATAGCCAACATCCTCAGCACATTCAACTGTGCACTCCCAGGCTATGCCGACTGTTCTCACAGCCTTCACACTTGCCCTAACTTTAGGAGCTTCCACAGCAATGTGTGAAAACTCATTTTCCACGCTCAAAAGAGTCTTCTCAGAGCATCGGCGCAGTATGCTGCACAGACGCAAGGCCCAGCTGATTCAGCTTGATTTTGAAAAGGACCTCACTCACAAGTTTAAGTCAGAGTGGAAGGATACTTTGATGAGGAGGTTCTGCTCGGAGAAACGACAGCGCTGCCTCCACTCAAAGTACCGGTAGGTTCAAAGTCTATGTCTGTGTGTGTGTCTCATGGCAATGCATATCCCTCTGTTGACTGCTTTAAAATGCAATGTTTGAGAGATGCTTCTGGTGTTACATCTAATATGTTGTATAGTCAAGTGTTTTATGGATATTCATAATATTGCTTCTATGTAATGTGGTGTAGGCTATAGGCTACCTGGTCATATTGCTGTTGGTTATGTTTAATGTGATGATTACCTGCTGCGCAAATAGAGTATACGATTATTATAAATATACTGTAGGCTAATAGTAATTGTGCCCTGCCCTCCCATGCATTTCATATGCCCCCCTTAAGACTGAGGTCTGGCGACGGGTCTGTGCACCACTAGACTATCTAGCTCTAGAACACAGCTGGCTGCACCACTAGACTATCTAGCTCTAGAACACAGCTGGCTGCACCACTAGACTATCTAGCTCTAGAACACAGCTGGCTGCACCACTAGACTATCTAGCTCTAGAACACAGCTGGCTGCACCACTAGACTATCTAGCTCTAGAACACAGCTGGCTGCACCACTAGACTATCTAGCTCTAGAACACAGCTGGCTGCACCACTAGACTATCTAGCTCTAGAACACAGCTGGCTGCACCACTAGACTATCTAGCTCTAGAACACAGCTGGCTGCACCAGTAGACTATCTAGCTCTAGAACACAGCTGGCTGCACCAGTAGACCATCTAGCTCTAGAACACAGCTGGCTGCACCAGTAGACTATCTAGCTCTAGAACCCAGCTGGCTGCACCACTAGACTATCTAGCTCTAGAACACAGCTGGCTGCACCAGTAGACTATCTAGCTCTAGAACACAGCTGGCTGCACCACTAGACTATCTAGCTCTAGAACACAGCTGGCTGCACCACTAGACTATCTAGCTCTAGAACACAGCTGGCTGCACCACTAGACTATCTAGCTCTAGAACACAGCTGGCTGCACCACTAGACTATCTAGCTCTAGAACACAGCTGGCTGCACCACTAGACTATCTAGCTCTAGAACACAGCTGGCTGCACCACTAGACTATCTAGCTCTAGAACACAGCTGGCTGCACCACTAGACTATCTAGCTCTAGAACACAGCTGGCTGCACCACTAGACTATCTAGCTCTAGAACCCAGCTGGCTGCACCACTAGACTATCTAGCTCTAGAACCCAGCTGGCTGCACCACTAGACTATCTAGCTCTAGAACCCAGCTGGCTGCACCACTAGACTATCTAGCTCTAGAACCCAGCTGGCTGCACCACTAGACTATCTAGCTCTAGAACCCAGCTGGCTGCACCAGTAGACTATCTAGCTCTAGAACCCAGCTGGCTGCACCAGTAGACTATCTAGCTCTAGAACCCAGCTGGCTGCACCAGTAGACTATCTAGCTCTAGAACCCAGCTGGCTGCACCACTAGACTATCTAGCTCTAGAACACAGCTGGCTGCACCACTAGACTATCTAGCTCTAGAACCCAGCTGGCTGCACCAGTAGACTATCTAGCTCTAGAACCCAGCTGGCTGCACCAGTAGACTATCTAGCTCTAGAACCCAGCTGGCTGCACCAGTAGACTATCTAGCTCTAGAACCCAGCTGGCTGCACCAGTAGACTATCTAGCTCTAGAACCCAGCTGGCTGCACCAGTAGACTATCTAGCTCTAGAACACAGCTGGCTGCACCACTAGACTATCTAGCTCTAGAACCCAGCTGGCTGCACCACTAGACTATCTAGCTCTAGAACACAGCTGGCTGCACCAGTAGACTATAGCTGTCTCCAGTCCAGCTGAGACCAACAACACATTGTCAATCAGAGGGAGATTTAGGATTAGCTTGGGTGTAGCCTTATTTGTGGGTATTCACTGTAGGGTTGCAAAATTCCTGTACCTTTTCCGAAAATTACAAGATTTTCCAGAAATCCCAGTTGGAAGATTCCCTGAATCAGGAGGGAATAAACAGGAAATCTGGAATCCTCCAACTAGAATTTTGGGAAAGTTACCAGAATTATGCAACCCTAGTTCATTGTGTATGTATGTATGTATGTATGTATGTATGTATGTATGTATGTATACACACACAGTACCAGTGAAAAGTTTGGACACGCCTACTCATTCAAGGGTTTTTCTTTATTTTTACTATTTTCTACATTGTAGAATAATAGTGAAGACAACTATGAAATAACACATATGGAATCATGTAGTAACCCAAAAAGTGTTAAACAAATCAAAATATATTTTATATTTGAGATTCTTCAAAGTAGCCACCCTTTGCCTTGATGACAGCTTTGCACACTCTTGGCATTCTCTCAACCAGCTTCATGAGGTAGTCACCTGGAATGCATTTAAATTAACAGGTGTGCCTTGTTAAAAGTTAATTTGTGGAATTTCTTTCCTTCTTAATGCGTTGAGCCAATCAGTTGTGTTGTGACATGGTAGGGGGGGTATACAGAAGATAGCTTTATTTGGTAAAAGACCAAGTCCATATTATGGCAAGAACAGCTCAAATAAGCAAAGAGAAACGACAGTCCATCATTCCTTTAAGACATAAAGGTCAGTCAATACGGAACAATTCAATAACTTTGAAAGTTCCTTCAAGTGCAGTCGCAAAAACCATCAAGCGCTATGATGAAACTGGCTCTCATGAGGACCACCACAGGAAAGGAAGACCCAGAGTTACCTCTGCTGCAAAGGATAAGTTCATTAGAGTTAACTGCACCTCAGATTGCAGCCCAAATAAATGCTTCACAGAGTTCAAGTCACAGACATCTCAACATCAACTGTTCAGAGGAGACTGCGTGAATCAGGCCTTCATGGTTGAATTGCTGCAAAGAAACCACTACTAAAGGACACCAACAAGACGAAGAGACTTGCTTGGGCCAAAAAACATGAGCAATGGCCATTAGACCAGTGGAAATGTGTCCTTTGGTCTGATGAGTCCAAATGTGAGATTTCTGGTTCCAACCGCTGTGTCTTTGTGAGACGCAGAGTAGGTGAACGGATGATCTCCGCATGTGTGGTTCCCACCGTGAAGCATGGAGGAGGAGGTGTGATGGTGTGGGGGTGCTTTGCTGGTGACACTGTGTGATTTATTTAGAATTGAAGGCACACTTAACCAGCATGGCTACCACAGCATTCTGCATCGATACTCCATCCCAACTGGTTTGCGCTTAGTGGGACTATCATCTGTTTTTCAACAGGACAATGACCCAAAACACACCTCCAGGCCGTGTAAGGCTATTTGACCAAGAAGGAGAGTGATGGAGTGCTGCTTCAGATGACCTGGCCTCCATAATCACCCGACCTCAACCCAAATGAGATGGTTTGGGATTAATTGGACCGCAGAGTGAAGGAACAGCAGCCTTTGAAGAATCTCAAATATATTTTGATTTGTTTAACACTTTTTTGGTTAGTACATGATTCCATATGTGTTATTTCATAGTTTTGATGTCTTCACTATTATTTACAATGTAAAAAATAGTAAAAAATTAAGAAAAACCCTTGAATGAGTAGGTTGACTGGTACTGTGTGTGTGTATATATATCTCAGTACTGAGTAAATGTGTTTTTGGTGTACTGCTCACCTAGGCAGGTCTTGGTGTCGTTGTCGTAAACGTATCCTGTCTCACACAGACAGTCATAGGTTCCATCCTGGTTCACACACCTCGCTGTCCCACACATACCTGGGTCCTGGCACTCATCCACATCTGAAACACACACAGTGAGGACAGTTCAATACATCCTTCAGGTAAGGTGTGTGTGTGTGTGTGTGTGTGTGTGTGTGTGTGTGTGTGTGTGTGTGTGTGTGTGTGTGTGTGTGTGTGTGTGTGTGTCTTACCGTTACACATATGGCGTCCGACCAGCGTGTAACCGTGGCGACAGGAGCAGCGGTAGCTACCCATAGTGTTGTTACAATCATGTTGACATTCTCCATTCCTCTTGTTGCACTCGTTGATATCTGCCAATCACAGGAGAGACACAGAGGACATGTGAAAATATGAACCAATCACTTCATCCGTCAACTACATTGAACATAGCTAAGTGTTGCACTTCAATGTGAATCATGATCGAAACGTTTATACACGTCAATGAAAGTTTGTACACAAGGAAAGTTTGTCTTTTTAACTAAATAAATCACACCTGTCTCTTTTCCAGCGGTTTATATTTAGAGAAATGCCACTTATTTGGACCGATTACCACTGAGTGACTGGTCTGATGAGCTGAATGGTTTCTGTGTGCTTGTGGTCGGCCAGTGGAAAAGCCTCCGCCTCAGAGTCAGTCAGTCAGGCACGTTGTGTTTTGGCTTCCCCCGCCGACCAACAATTAGGTGGCAGGATGAGTCACCACGGAAACGTGAGAGATAGACTCTGCATTCCAAATGGTATCCTATTCCCATAGCGTTCTGGTCAAAAGTAGTGTACTATAAATCAGGAATAGGGTGCCATTTGGGAAACAGACAGCAGCAGTGTGAGGGAGGCAGCAGAACTACTGGAGGCATTTACACAGACAGGAATAATAGAACTTCTCCCTCTCTACCACTGTTTTCTCTCTCTCCCCCTCCCTCTGTAAAGACATGTAACCAGCCCTCTCTCTCTCCCTCTCTGTAAAGACATGTAACCAGCCCTCTCCCTCTCCCTCTCTGTAAAGACATGTAACCAGCCCTCTCTCTCTCCCCCCTCCCTCTGTAAAGACATGTAACCAGCCCTCTCTCTCTCCTACTCCCTCTGTAAAGACATGTAACCAGCCCTCTCTCTCTCCCCCCTCCCTCTGTTAAGACATGTAACCAGCCCTCTCTCTCTCCTACTCCCTCTGTAAAGACATGTAACCAGCCCTCTCTCTCTCCCCCTCCCTCTGTAAAGACATGTAACCAGCCCTCTCTCTCTCCCACTCCCTCTGTAAAGACATGTAACCAGCCCTCTCTCTCTCCCCCTCCCTCTGTAAAGACATGTAACCAGCCCTCTCTCTCCCCCTCCCTCTGTAAAGACATGTAACCAGCCCTCTCCTCTCCCCCTCCCTCTGTTAAGACATGTAACCAGCCCTCCCTCTCCCTCTCTGTAAAGACATGTAACCAGCCCTCTCTCTCTCCCCTCCCTCTGTAAAGACATGTAACCAGCCCTCTCTCTCTCCTACTCCCTCTGTAAAGACATGTAACCAGCCCTCCTCTCCTCCCCCTCCCTCTGTAAAGACATGTAACCAGCCCTCTCTCTCCCTCCCCCCTCTGTAAAGACATGTAACCAGCCCTCTTCTCTCCCCCTCCCTCTTTTAAAAACATGTAACCAGCCCTCTCTCTCTCCCCCTCCCTCTGTAAAGACATGTAACCAGCCCTCTCTCTCTCCCCCTCCCTCTGTAAAGACATGTAACCAGCCCTCTCTCTCTCTCTGTAAAGACATGTAACCAGCCCTCTCTCTCCTCTCTCTGTAAAGACATGTAACCAGCCCCCTCTCTCTCCGGCTCCTTCGGTAAAGACATGTAACCAGCCCTCTCGCTCTCTGTAAAGACATGTAACCAGCCCTCCCTCTCTCTCTCTGTAAAGACATGTAACCAGCCCTCTCTCTCTCTCTCTCTTTCCCCCTCCCTCTGTACAGACATGTAACCAGCCCAGCGCTGACCTTCTCTTCGCAGGGTCATGTGATTTCCCAGCCTGCTCTACATGTGACCGGGTCACTTCCTACACATCCAGTTCATACTGACCCGACCGACATATAGCAACAACAACGCAACTCACACAGAGCATGCCCAATCACAACCCAGCGCCACTCCGGGGACGGCGGACAGCGCTGGACGGTGTGTGTGTGTCTGTGTGGATGGAGATAGCTTAGTCACTGTCTGTCCAAGTCAAGGTCAGACAGACAGACAGGACTCACCCTGTACCGGTCATTGTCACGCGCTGGAGACGACACAGTGTGACACTGCAAAAAAATCCTCTCTGTCCCCACCTCTGTCTCTCTCTTTTTGTATGTGTGGCAAGTTGGCCTCACTGACACAAACAACAACACACTAGTCCTTCTTCCTGGCCAAGTCTACAGGCTCCAGGCTCTATGTATCCAATACACTGGCCGTATTCCAGAGCATCAAATCTGGGATGTATTGTGGGTCAATTGTGACTGACTGATCTACAACTAGTAACGAGTAGTTATTTATGATGCAAGGTGATTTGTAGATCAGTCAGTGGGCTGCACTGTGGAACAAGCCCATTGTGTTTGCAGCAGTGTTTCTGAAGACCATGTGACACTACCTTTCTCACACCTGACTCCTGTCCAGCCAGTGAAGCAGTGGCAGAGGAAGTCACCCTTTCTGTCCTCACAGCGCACCATACCTCGAGGATTACAGGGAGACGGAGAGCACTGGTCTGGAATATCTGAGAGAGGGGGTGGGGAAGGGAGAGAGAGAGGAGGACGGTTGGGGGGAGAGTGAGAGACGAGAGGTGTGCGGGAAGGGGAGAGAAAGAGGGTGGGGAAGCGCAGAGGTCGTGAGAGAGGGGGGGGGGGAAGGAGAGGAGTGGTGGGGAGAGAGAGAGGAGAGGAGGCCGCGAGAGGGGAGGAGCTGAGTTGAGAGAGGTAGGAGAGCGAGGGGAGAGAGAGGGGTGGGAGTGGAGACCGGAGAGAGAGAGCGCGGGGGGGGCGGAGGGGTGTGAGGGAGGAGAAAAGGGATGAGAGAGAGGGAAGAGAGGGGAAGAGAGAGAGAGAGGAGAGAGGATTGGTGGGGAGGGAGAGAGAGGAGGGAGAGGGAAGAGAGAGGGTGGGGAAGGAGAGAGAGAGAGGTGGGAGGGAGAGAGAGAGAGGGTGGGGAAGGGAGAGAGAGGGTGGGGAAGGGAGAGAGGAGGTGGGTGAAGGGAGATAGAAAGAAAGAGAGCATTAGAGGTCATCGTACCAGAGAAATAACATCCTACAGTACAGCAAGTCATAGATGTGAAGTGCTTTAGCCAGGCTGTTCCAGGCAGGTACATAGCGCTATGTTACTATATAATGCCCCCTGTGATGCCATTGATAAATGCCCTGGTCAAAAGTAGTGCACTATATAGGGAATAGGGTGCCATTTGTGACGTAGCCTAAAATGCCTGCATTGAGAAAAGAGAGAACGGTCTTTTCCCCTCCCAGGATCTCTGAGGACTCACAGTATAAATAGCTCCTCTGTCTCGCTCTCACACCCTGTCGCTCCCACACTCCGTCTCTCTCTCACACTCTGTGTCTCTCTCTCACACTCTGTCTCTCTCTCACACTCCGTCTCTCTCTCACACTCCGTCTCTCTCTCACACTCCGTCTCTCTCTCACACTCCGTCTCTCTCTCACACTCCGTCTCTCTCTCACACTCCGTCTCTCTCTCACACTCCGTCTCTCTCTCACACTCCGTCTCGCTCTCACACTCCGTCTCGCTCTCACACTCCGTCTCGCTCTCACACTCCGTCTCGCTCTCACACTCCGTCTCGCTCTCACACTCCGTCTCTCTCTCACACTCCGTCTCTCTCTCACACTCCGTCTCTCTCTCACACTCTCTGTCTCTCTCTCACACTCCTGTGTCTCTCTCTCACACTCCGTGTCTCTCTCCACTCCGTGTCCTCTCTCACACTCTGTGTCTCTCTCTCACACTCCGTGTCTCTCTCTCACACTCCGTCTCTCTCTCACACTCTGTGTCTCTCTCTCACACTCCGTCACTCTCTCACACTCTGTGTCTCTCTCACAACCTGTCAATCAATCCCCAAAAATTTTGAAAGCCCTTTTTACATACAGAAACCTAGCCTAAAACCCCAAACAGTAAGCAATGCAGATGTCTCTCTCTCACCCCCCCCCGTCTCTCTCTCTCACCCCCCCCTGTCTCTCTCTCTCACCCCCCCCTGTCTCTCTCACACCCTCTCATTAGCATCTATCTATCCTGGAGTGTTATATCTAACCTAATAGTTCCCTGCAGTTCTTTCTCCTTTAAGAGCTCCTACTGCTGATGGTGTTCTCTGTCCTGGACGCACTGCTGAGTCATAACTCCCTGGCTGACTCTCTCTGACTAGAGTTCCATCAACCAATCAGCAGACAGGATCGGCAGTCCCACTCACTCCTCGACTCAGCAGCCCTGATGCAGCAGAAACCTCTATCCATTCTCCACCTTCTCTCTTTTACTCTCCCTCCTCCTCCTCCTCTCACTGGCGTCACAGCTCGCTCACGTCACTGATCTCAGATCTGCAGTCACAGAGTGCGTGACGCTGGAAGGAGGTGTGTCACGCACACTAGGCTAGCTACTGCAGAGTTCCACACGCGTCTCCCTCCCTCCCTCCCTCCCTCCCTCCCTCCCGAGAATGCTCTTTCTTTCTTTCTTCCAGTCATTCCTCCTCTTATCTTCTCCACCTTTAATGAGAACTTTCTCTCAGTGTTCTGCAATAGTGAGCTGGTGCAGTGCAGCCCGCCCTGCCCAACAGATGGAACTGTGTGCTCACTGCTCCTCATAGGCACTATTTATAAACCACACAGAGAGGGAATGAGAGAGGGAGAGGGTGAATGAGATAGAGTATGATAGAAAGAGGTGTGTTATAAAAGTGGAGGAGAGTGAAAGAAAGAAAGAAAAAGAAAGAAAGAGAGTGAGCGCTACATGCTCAAATCTACTGTACGTCAGTCAGTGTGTCTGTCCAGAGCCCTAGTCAGTAGGACAGACAGGTGAGGAACTCACTGTGAACACAGGTGATCAGGTCTTGTTTCTTCTTGTCCGTGTCTCCAAACTTCTCCATGCACGCTAGTCAGAGAGGGAGACAGGGCAGAGACAGGAGACAGAGAGACAGAGACAGTAAGACAGAGAGACAGTAAGACAGAGAGAACGGGCAGAGACAGTAAGACAGGGCAGAGACAGTAAGACAGAGAGACAGTAAGACAGAAAGACAGGGCAGAGACAGTAAGAGAGAGACAGGGCAGAGACAGTAAGACAGAGCAGAGACAGTAAGACAGAGAGACAGGGTAGAGACAGTAAGACAGAGAGACAGGGCCGAGACAGGGAGACAGAGACAGGGCGGAGACAGGGAGACAGAGACAGGGCGGAGACAGTATGACAGCGAGACAGGGTAGAGACAGAGAGACAGAGCAGAGAGGAGACAGAGAGACAGGCCAGAGAAAGGGAGACAGAGAGACAGAGCAGAGAGGAGACAGAGAGACAGGACAGAGAAAGGGAGACAGAGCCACAGGGCAGAGTCAGGGAGACAGGGCAGAGACAGAGAGACAGGGCAGAGACAGAGAGACAGGGCAGAAACAGAGAGACAGGGCAGAGAAGGACAGAGACAGGGGAGACAGAGACAGGGAAGAACAGAGAGACAGGGAAGAGACAGAGAGGCAGAGACAGGGCAGAGACAAAGACAGAGAGACAGGGCAGAGACAGGGAGACAGAGACAGGGAGACAGAGACAGGGCAGAAACAGAGAGACAGGGAAGAGACAGAGAGGCAGAGACAGGGCAGAGACAAAGACAGAGAGACAGGGCAGAGACAGGGAGACAGAGACAGGGAGACAGAGACAGGGAGACAGGGCAGAGAGGAGACAGAGACAGGGCAGAGAGGGCAGAGAAAGGGAGACAGAGCAACAGCGCAGAGACAGGAGACAGAGACAGGGCAGAGACAGAGACAGGTCAGAGACACGGAGACAGGGCAGAGACACAGAGACAGGTCAGAGACACGGAGACAGCGAGACAGGGCAGAGACAGGAGACAGTAAGACAGAGACAGGAAGACAGATACAGGGCAACAGTAAGACAGAGACAGGAAGACAGATACAGGGCAAAGACAGGAAGACAGACACACGGCAGAGACAGGAGACAGGGAAGAGACAGGCAAGAGACAGGGCAGAGACAGGGCAGAGACGGGGAGACAGAGAGACAGGGCAGAGACGGGGAGACAGAGACAGGGCATAGACAGGGAGACAGGACAGAGACAGGGCAGAGTTAGCGCAGAGACAGCGGAGAGACAGGAAGACAGTGACAGGGAAAAGACAGTGAGACAGGGCAGAGACAGGAGACAGTAAGACAGAGAGACAGGGAAGAGACAGGGAGACAGTAAGACAGAGAGACAGGAAGACAGTTACAGGGCAAAGACAGGAGAAAGAGAGACAGGGCAGAGACAGAGAGACAGGGCAGAGACATGAGATAGTTAAACACCATACAACAGATGCTAATGACCTAATCAAGTAATAACAATTTCACCCAAAGCTGAAGAGGTTGGGAACATGAACCAAACTTACCTAAGTACTTTGGATAGAAGTAGTCCTGAAGGAGAGGGGAACAGAAGGAGAGAGGCTGTTAGTGATGTTTGATAACAGTATGCTGAATACTGAGGTCAAACATGACAGATTAAGACTACATGTATGTCTTATGATAGACATGCATCATGTCATCTCATGTTAATGGGACCACACAGCCTAGGAGCCCCTCCAGGGCTTCCTGGGAATGTTCTACACAACTCTCTCTCCTGCAGAATAGCCCGAGTAGCAGTCTGGATCATGCAAACTCCTTGTCACTCATTGTCATGTGTTTGGTTTGACCATGACAGCAATAGAATTGGCAAGAGCACAAACAGTTCTGGGACCGGGCTGCTTGCCTGCAGTATAGTATATGGAGGTAACTGGGGACCGGGCTGCCTGCCTGCAGTATAGTATATGGAGGTAACTGGGGACCGGGCTGCCTGCCTGCAGTATAGTATATGGAGGTAACTGGGGACCGGGCTGCCTGCCTGCAGTATAGTATATGGAGGTAACTGGGGACCGGGCTGCCTGCCTGCAGTATAGTATATGGAGGTAACTGGGGACCGGGCTGCCTGCCTGCAGTATAGTATATGGAGGTAACTGGGGACCGGGCTGCCTGCCTGCAGTATAGTATATGGAGGTAACTGGGGACCGGGCTGCCTGCCTGCAGTATAGTATATGGAGGTAACTGGGGACCGGGCTGCCTGCCTGCAGTATAGTATATGGAGGTAACTGGGGACCGGGCTGCCTGCCTGCAGTATATTATATGGAGGTAACTGGGGAAAGTTAAAATTAGAACAAGACTTGATGGGACAATGACATGATTCTCCAGAGAGTTCCGCTGCACTGAAAGAGGAAGAAGAAGAAGAAGAGTACATTAAATGGAAGGCAGCAGATAGATAAGAGATTCCTGACCGTGTGTAGTTCTACTGAGACACTTCTAACACTATCCTATCCTTATACGTCTAATCTCATTCTAGTGATGGAGAGAGAGACAGAGAGAGAGAGAGAGAGAGAGAGAGAGGAAGGAAGCGAGAGAGAGGGAGGAGAGAGAGAGGAAGGGAAGACGAGCAGAGAGAGAGAGCAGAGCAGAGAGAGAGAGAGAGAGGCAGAAAGAGAAAGAGAGAGAGAGAAAGAGAGAGACAGAGAAGAGACAGAGACAGAGACAGAGAGAGAGAGAGAGAGAGAGGAGAGAGAGAGAGAGAGAGAGAGAGAGAGAGAGAGAGGGGATGGAGAGAAGCAGAGAGAGAGGGAGAGAGAAAGATATGGAGAGAGAGATGGAGAGAGGCAGAGAGGCAGATGGATGGAGAGGCAGAGAGAGAGGCAGAGAGAGAGAGACAGAGACAGAGAGAGAGAGAGCGGCAGAGAGAGAGAGAGATAGAGTGGGAGGGGGACCAGGCAGAAACTTTCCAACTACTGCGGAGAGAGAGACTGAGGCTGCAGTTGAAGACTCTTGGTTGCTAGGGAGACTGTAGGTTAGTGGTATGTTAACCAGGAAGGAACACTCCCTCTGCAGAGCCAGGGAACTGCAGCATTGTGAGAAAACTGCAGAGTCAGAGATAGGCACGTTTAAAATGAATAATAGATCTGTGAATGAGGCTGCAGTCCTGTCACGATACACCCCCCCCCCCCCCACCACCACTTGTATCACGCACATCCTCCTCTCCTGATTCTGGGTTCACACCCCCTCTCTCTCATCATATGCACACACACACACACACACACACACACACACACACCCTCTCTCTCTCTCTGAGCCTATTCCAAACCCTCTCTCCACTCTCACCCTGATTCACATCTCTCACCCCGATTCACCTCTCTCCACTGTCACCCCGATTCACCTCTCTCCACTGTCACCCCGATCATCTCCACTGTCACCCGTCATTCTTCAGTCACCCTGATTCACATCTCTCCACTGTCACCCCGATTTACCTCTCTCCACTGTCACCCCGATTCACATCTCTCCACTGTTCACCCCGTTTCACCTCTCTCCACTGTCACCCCGATTCACCTCTCTCCACTCTCACCCTGATTCACCTCTCTCCACTCTCACCCTGATTCACCTCTCTCACCCTGATTCACATCTCTCCACTGTCACCCCGATTCACATCTCTCCACTGTCACCCCGATTCACATCTCTCCACTGTCACCCCGATTCACATTCTCCACTGTCACCCCGATTCACATCTCTCCACTCTCACCCCGATTCACATCTCTCCACTCTCACCCCGATTCACATCTCTCCACTCTCACCCCGATTCACATCTCTCTCCACTCTCACCCCGATTCACATCTCTCCACTCTCACCCCGATTCACCTCTCTCCACTGTCACCCCGATTCACCTCTCTCCACTGTCACCCCGATTCACCTCTCTCCACTGTCACCCCGATTTCCCTCTCTCCACTGTCACCCCGATTCACATCTCTCCACTGTTACCCCGTTTCACCTCTCTCCACTGTCACCCCGATTCACCTCTCTCCACTGTCACCCCGATTCACATCTCTCCACTGTCACCCCGATTCACATCTCTCCACTGTCACCCCGATTCACATCTCTCCACTGTCACCCCGATTCACATCTCTCCACTGTCACCCCGATTCACATCTCTCCACTGTCACCCCGATTCACATCTCTCCACTCTCACCCCGATTCACATCTCTCCACTCTCACCCCGATTCACATCTCTCTCCACTCTCACCCCGATTCACATCTCTCCACTCTCACCCCGATTCACATCTCTCCACTCTCACCCCAGATCGCCTCCTCTCCAGCTCTTTCCTCACAAAACATTTTTTCTTAAATTGACAATATTTCTAGATTAGCATATTAAACAGGCTTAATTTTGATCTACATATTGTCTACTTCCCAAACGGCACCAACCCAGGAAAAATTATACTGGACGCCCCCATGGGCCCTGGTCAAAAGTAGTGCACTATATAAGGAATAGGGTGCCATTTGGGACACAAAATTATTATTCAAATGGATGCTGGAGGCTGATCAACACATTAATGAAGCTAGCTGGCAGAACCTAAACCTAATCTATATATCCCTGAGGGGATGGGAGCCCTGTGTGACAGGCTTAAAGCTTGTGTGAGCGCATTGTTGCTCTGCCTGGAATTCATTTGTGATTAAAAACACATTCCCCCTGGTCACGTTCAATCCGCTTACTGTAAGCACTTACTTGATCCGAGGACCAATCAAAAACACAGCAGTCCACCACATATTAACATAATCACTCCCATGCATGATCCCATCACGCAGAAGCAGGATCATTAACATAGTCACAAACCTTACAGTAGTATGAACATTTACATAATCAGGCATGGTTTCCCCACAGCCCAATGTGCTAGTTGAACACAACGGGAACACTACCGCTACCTCGTTTTCAAACCAAAGTGCAATGAATTGAGGAGCAAACTTAAGTGAACATCAAATTCAGCAACTCTTGGAGGTCTAGTTGTACAGTGTACATACCACAGGGGGTTGGTGGCAGCTTAATTGGGGAGGACGGGCTCGCGGTAGTAGCTGGAGCGGAATCAGTGGAATGGTATCAAATACATGCCATTGCATTCGCTCTGTTCTAGCCATTATCATCAGCCGGCCTCCCCTCAGCAGCCTCCACTGATACACACACTACTTGATTGGACTGGTAACTGTTTGCCAGTAATTAGTAGTATCTATCTGGTGATTGACTTTTTGGAGCTTGAACACAAAACACAGGATCATTACGTTATAAACAAGTAGGCTATAGGATCTGTTATTATGGCAAGACAAATCCAATGTGCGCAGCTAGTCCGTTTTTTATACGCAATGGAAAGAAGTGCAATGAGTGCTATTTGATTTGACATGATCAAGTGTGTAGTGATCAAGTGTGTAGTGTACTCACTGTTTCAGGGTCGTTCTCGAATACTTCTCTCGCCTCCTCTTTGCTACACTTCTCTTCCACACACTCTCGCTCCAGGTGCCCTTGTTTCGTCTCCTCGAAAACGTGATTCGCTCTCCTGTGTCTCCTTAAGAACTGGTTAGCCTCTTCCGGGGACAAGGAAACTGAAAATAACCACAAGCACAGTGTGCCACAGAACAGAATCAAACTCAAACTGAACAGAATTTCCCATTAGTTACCTTACTACATTTTAGTTGCTAAAATGATCCAGCCCCTAACTTACTGACAAAAAGTCATGGACTTGAGATTTAAAAGCATCAGCTAAGCAGACAAAAATAACATTATTCAACAACAATGAACTAGCTGGCAAGCTAAACAACAAGGCTATCCCCACGCAGTGCCAACAACGCCAGAAAGAGCTTAGTGGGCTTTGTTGTTTACTTACGGCTGTCGGAGCACGGGACGAGGAGCAGGAGCAGGAAGCTTCCTGAAGCAAGGAGCTCTGTCAACTGCATGGTTGCTGCTCTGCGTCAGGCTGGAAAGTTTCTCCTTTACTCGCTCTCTCTCTCTCTGTTCAATGTAGCTTGTAGCTAGCAACCAGGTAGCAGTCGTGTATAAAACACACTGCAAGTTCAAACATTCACTTCCCAGCAGGCAAGAATGCAGTTACACTTAACTCAGCGTTTTCCTTCTTCAATGTTCAGCCTTGCTAGCTCGCTAGCTACATAGTCCGCATACCACAACCAAGGCTACGTACAGCCACTGCAGTACAAAAAGTCCGACCTTCACTCTTATCTAGCTAGAGAGCCACCTACTTCGCGCCCATCTCGTTTGGTTCTCCCAGCTACTAACGTAGCAGGCGTAAAATAAACCCAGCTACTAGCCCGAACTGTGGACAAAGACCACAACCTACACATCAGAAGGGGAGTTGCTTCTGAAAAGTTACGTCGGATGCACACAGGCAGGAGTCAGCAATGCAGAGTTGCTCTTGCTCTACCCTTCGGCAGTGCTTCAGTAGCTATGCTCTCTCTCTGCCCATTTACCTGCAGTGCTTTGCGTAGCCTAGGCTTAGTACAACAGATGACTCCCACCTAGGCTATAGCATGCCAGACATAGACGCAGGAAGTATTAGTGCTGAGGGTACTGCAGCACCACCTGATTTTTTTTATTTGACCTTTATTAAACTTGGCAAGTCAGTTTAGAACAAATTCTTATTTAAAATGACGGCCTACCCCGGCCAAACTCGGACGACGCTGGGCCAATTGTGCTCAGCCCTATGGGACTCCCAATCACCGCGGGATTGTGACTGATACATTAATTTTAAAAATGTAAAAGTATTTCACAATATTACTCCTGTATGAGTGGATGAAAATAGCCGTCAGCATTAAACAGTCTGTTTGTGACATTAGTTGAAAGCTAAGTCTCGACCCAGATTCTCTCTCTCCCCCCTCTTTCTTCCCAGCAGTTTATTTTAAGCCTTCACATTCCTTTCATTTTGTCATCATTCCCCAGAATCTATCTTTCGTTTTTAAGGACTCACTTGCTGTTATGATTTCTCAGAAATCATGTCTCTCTCTCTCTCTCTCTCTCTCTCTCTCTCTCTCTCTCTCTCTCTCTCTCTCTCTCTCTCTCTCTCTCTCTCCCCCCATCTGTGTTAAGGCTCACATTTGCACAACATATACCCTCTGCCAAGAACTCTGTTACTCTGTTTTTAATCACCTATTTTTTGGACTCACATCCTATTATGTTTTCTCAGAAATCATGTATCTCTCTCTCTCTCTCTCTCTCTCTCTCTCTCTCACGCTTTCTCTCAATTCAATTCAAATGGGCTTTATTGGCATGGAAACATATGTTTACATAGTACAGTGTTATAACAATTGCAAATAGTTGATGTAAGAATGGCAAGGGAAAATAAATAAACATAAGTATAGGTTGCAGCTCTCTGTCTCTCTCTCTCTCTTCCCTGTCCTCCTCATGTTTGTCCAGATCTGAGTCGGGTAGTGGAACAATGTTACAACAGAATCAAATCAAAATCACATTTTATTTGTCACGTGCCGAATACAATGAGTGTAGACATTGCTGTGAAATGCTTGCTTATGAGCCCTTCCCGACCATGCAGAGTTAAACAATCAAAACAGTATCACAGGAGGAATGAAATACACAAGAATGGAGCTATATACAGGGAGTACCAGTACCAGATCAATGTACAGCTATATACAGGAGGTACCAGTACCAGATCATGTGGAGCTATATACAGGGAGTACCAGTACCAGATCAATGTACAGGGGTACAAGCTATTTGAGGTAGATTTGTACATGAAGGCAGGGTAAAGTGATTAGGCATCAGGATAGATACTAATAAGAATGAAATAAAGAACAGAGTAGCAGCAGCATATGATGAGGGTAAAAGTGTGTGTGTATGTTTGTGTTGTGTCTGTGTGTGTGTGTGTGTGCAATTAATGAACTATTTATCAGTCTTATGGCTTGGGGGTAGAAGCTATGTCGGAGCCTGTTGGTCCGAGAACCGATACTCTGGTACCGTTTGCCAGATGGTAGCAGAGTGAACAATCTATGGCTTGGGTGGCTGGAGTCTTTGGCAATTTTTGGGCCTTCCTCTGACACTGCTGACATAGACATCTTGGATGGCAGGAAGCTCGGCCCCAGGGATGTACTGGGCCGTTGGCACCACCCTCTGTAGCGCTTTGTGGTTGAGGGTGGTGCATTTGCCATACCAAGCAGTGATGCAGCCAGTCAAGATGCTCTAGATGGTGCAGCTGTAGAACGTTTTGAGGATCCGATGGCCCATGCCAAATCTTTTCAGCCTCCTGAGGGGGAAGAGGCACTGTCATGCCCTCTACACGACTGTGCGGGTGAGTGTGGACCATTTAAAGTCCTGAGTTATGTGGATGACAAGGAACTTGAAACTGTCGACCCGCTCCACTACAGCCCAGTCGATGTGGATGGGGGCATGCTCTCCCCTCTTTCTCCTATAGTCCACGATCAGCTCCTTGTTCTTACTGACGTTGAGGGAGAGGTTGTTGTCCTGGCACCACACTGCTAAGTCTCTGACCTCCTCCCGGCAGGCTGTCTCATTAGCAAACTTGATGATTGTGTTGGAGTCGTGCGTGGCCATGCAGTCGTAGGTGAACAGAGAGTACAGGAGGGGACTAAGCACACACCCCTGAGAGGCCCCCGTGTTGAGGATCAGTGTGGCAGAGGTGTTGTTGCCTACCCTCACCACCAAGGGCTGGCCTGTCAGGAAGTTCAGGATCCAGTTGCAGAGGGAGGTGTTCAGTCCCAGGGTCCTTAGCTTAGTGATGAGCTTTGTGAGCACTATGGTGTTGAACGCTGAGCTGTAGTCTATGAACAGCATTCTCACATACAGTACCAGTCAAAAGTTTGGACACACCTACTCATTCAAGGGTTTTTCTTTATTTTTTTTACTATTTTCTACATTGTAGAATAATAGTGAAGACATCAAAACTAAGAAATAACACATATGGAATCATGTAGTAACCAAAAAAGTGTTACACAAATCAAAATATATTTTAAATTTTAGATTCTTCAAAGTAGCCACCTTTTGCCTTGATAACAGCTTTGCACACTCTTGGCATTCTCTCAACCAGCTTCACCTGGAATGCTTTTCCAACAGTCTTGAAGGAGTTCCCACATATGCTGAGCACTTGTTGGCTGCTTTTCCTTCACTCTGCGGTCCAACTCATCCCAAACCATTTCAATTGGGTTGAGGTCGGGTGATTGTTGAGGCCAGGTCATCTGATGCAGCACTCCATCACTCTCCTTCTTGGTAAAATTGAGCTCGTTTGGGTGTTCTGCATCACTAGGCATCTCACAGCTGGGTTTCCCTTTGTAATCCGTTATCAACTGTAAGCCCTGCCACATACGACAAGTGTCGGAGCCGGTGTAATAGGATTCCACCGTCCTCCTATATTGTCCTTTTGCATGTTTGATGTCTCGTCGGAGGTCATAGCGGGATTTCTTGTATGCGTCCATGTCCGTGTCCCGTTCCTTGTAAGTTGTAGCTCTAGCCTTTAGCCCAGCGCGGATATTTCCTGTATCTATGGTTTTTGGTTTGGATCCGTTCGCATAGTCACTGTGGGGACGACGTCGTCCATGCACTTATTGATAAAGCCCATGACTGATGTGATAAACTCCTCAATGCTATCGGATGAATCCTGGAACATATCCCAGTCTGTACTAGCAAAACAGTCTTGTAGCCTCGCATCTGCTTCATTGGACCACTTCCGTATTGAGCTTGTCACTGGTACTTCCTGTTTTTGTCTGTAAACAGGAAGCAGGAGAATAGAGTCGTGGTCAGATTTGCCAAATGGAGGATGAGGGAGAGCCTTGTATGTGTTTCTGTGGGTAGAATAAAAGTGGCCTAGAGTTTTAGTGTCCCTAGTGGTGCAGGAGATGTGTTGGTAAAAGTGAGGTAGAACGGTTTTTAGTCTCCCCGCGTTAAAGTCTCCTCCCACCAGAAACGCTGCCTCTGGGTGAGCGGTTTCTTGTTTGTTTATGGCTCCATACAGTTCGTTGAGTGCCAAAGTGGTGTTGGCTTGTGGAGGGATGTAGACAGCCGTGATAATTACGGATGAGAACTATCTTGGTAGATAAAAGGGTCTGCAGCTTACCATGAGCTATTCTATATCAGGTTAGCAAAAGCTTGAGATTTCCTTCACACTGGAAGCAGCGCACCAGTTGTTGTTTTTATGGTCCACCCCTCCCCCTTTGGACATGCCCGAGGCCGCCTTCATCCGATCGTGCCTCTGCTTAGAGAAACCACTGAGTTCTGCATACAGAGTAATTCAGCCACGTCTCTGCAAGGCATATAATATTGCAGATGTTCAAGTCTCTCGAACAAAGCTCATCCATCTTATTCTCAAGTGACTGGACATTTGCTAATAGAAGGAGGGTAGTGCCGGTCGATTTTTCTCTTGTCTCAATCTCACTGGGATGCCTTCTCATCTACCGCATCTATGCCTGCAGAGTTTTGGTAGCCCATGAAACAAAGGAATGGGGTCTGATATTAACAAGGGAGGGGTCCGGTATGAACAAGGGAATAGCTGAGTCGAAGTTGAAGTCGGATTTGAAATCAAAATCGAGTTTGGTAACTGTCGATCTGACGTCCAGAAGTGCTTGGCGGTCATATGTGATAATAGTATGAACTCCCTGTACAATAAAATTAAAGATGAACACAAAAAAAGTCACTACATAGAAAAGTCGGGTTGGAACTCATAAGATGTCTCCCTTCTTCGTCGGTGCCATCTTTACAGTTAATGTTGCCCCTGAGACTCACAAGGTTGACTCAGATCAGATGTCACATGTAACACATTTAAACCACACAGCAGGTGGGTATGTTTCAAAGGACGCTCGCTGCAAAATTGATTACATTCCAAGCTGTAGGGGGTCGACCAAGGTTTATGTCTCAACTGTCCAGCTGCAGAAACTACAGAACAAATACTCCTCCACGAGCATGGTCCCAGATCTGTTTGTGGTCT